GGTGAGGTTGCAGAGAAACAGGAACGCTTTTACACTGTTGGTGGGAATGTAAATTAGTTCAACTATTGTGTAAGACAGTGTGGCGATTCCTCAAAGATCTAGAACCAGAAATGCCATTTGGTCCAGCAATTCTATTACTGAGTATACACCAAAAGGAATATAAATCATTCTGTGACAAAGATACATGCAGGCATATGTTCACTGCAGCCCTATTAACAATAGCAAAGACATGGAATCAACCCAAATGCCCATCAATGATAGACTAGAAAATGTGTCACATATATACCATGGAATACTATGCAGCCATAAAAAGGAATGCGATCATGTCCTTTGCAGGGACGTGGATGAAGCTGGAAGCCATTATCCTCAGCAAACTAACACAGAACAGAAAACCAAACACCCCATGTTCTCACTTACAAGTGGGAGCTGAACAATGAGAACACACAGACACAAGGAGGGGAACAACACACTGGGGCCTGTCGGGGGTGGGGTGGGGGAAGGGAGAGCATTAGGAAAAATAGCTAATGCATGCTTGGCTTAATACCGAGGTGATGGGTTGATAGGTGCAGGAAACCACCATGGCACATATTTACCTATGTAACAAACCTGCACATCCTGCACATGTATCCCAGAACTTAAAATCATAATTAAAAGAAAAAAAAGAAAATGAAAAGGTAAGCCACAGACTGAACAAAAATATTTGCAATACACATATCTGACAAACGTTTTGTATCCAGACTACACAAATAACTTTTACAGCCAATGAGATGATTTTAAAATGGGCTAAATATTTGAAGACACTTCACAAAATAAGATTTACTGATGGCCAAAGCTACGTGAAAAGATCCTCAACATTGTTAGTCATTAGGAAACACAAATATAAACCATAATGAAGTATCACTATATATCCAAAACAATGGCTTAAAAAAGTACTGTCGATACCAGTATTGACAAGGATGTGAAGCAACTGGAGACCACACTCATTGTCAGTAAAAATGGTACAACCAGGCAAACAGTTTGACAGTTATCAAGTGAAATATACAATTATCCTTTGATCCAGCAATTCTATTCCTTGGTATTTACCCAAGAGACATGATAATGTATATCCACATAAAGACCCGTATGTGAATGTTCATAGCAACTTTATTCAGAATAGCTAAACACTAGAAATAACTTGAATTCCCATCAATGGGTAAAATACACCAATTGTGTTTTTGCATACAATGGAATATTGCTCCACAATATAAATCAGTGAATTACTGATCACACAACAACATGGATGGATCTCGAAAAACTACTTCCTGAAAATAAAAGTCAGGCACAAAAGAGTACACAGTGTATAATTCCATTCATATAAAATTCTAAGAAAGACAAAACTAATCTATAACAATAAAAAACAGATCCATTGTTACTTGGGCTGGGTGGTGGCTGGCAATATTGACTTGCCAAGTGGCATAAGGGGCATTTTGGAGGGGTGGTGATTATGGCAGTGGTTACTTGAATGTATGCATTTGTCAAACCTTACCAAGCTATACACTTAAAATAAGTGCCTTTTATATGTAGGTTATATATTGATAAAGCTTATTTTTAAAAAGAAAATCTATCTCTATATATACATATATATGCATATATGCTTATACAGTATGTACTTAAAGGTTCAGAAAGATATATTCAAAAGTATAGAACAGTAATATTTCAAAGGTGACATTAAAAATATTTAATGATGGGAAGCACAAGCATTGATCCATCAGAAGAAATGGTAGGTTTGAACAACTGATACAGCCAACCCGTGTGAATGAGATGAGTGTTAGTCCAGAAAAACAATAGCTATGAGTGGTAGGATTACAGACGTCCTTTTTCTTCCTTTTGCTTATCTATATTTGTTAATATTCTGTAAGAGTCATGTACTTTAAAGTAAGAACAAAATCTATTTTTAATTATAAAGAAGAAAAATGGTACCCTGTTGATAATCACATTTTATACTGTTATAAAATTCTAATGAATCTAAAAACCCTAATGGAACTTTTAAATAATAGATATGAGAAATGGTATACTAAAACAGCATTGAATTGGAAGGTAAAAATGGACAATGCTATAAAAATATTTTCTGTCTACTACAAAGAAAATAGTGAGACATATTTTTAAATTATTTTACCATTTGAACATTTTAAAATGCCCTCCCTTTACTCCTGTCCCAACAAGATGTCCATATAATTGATTATGTTGTAAGAGAGAGATCATTTCCTCAAATTGTCCAGGCCCTGAAATGCCATAATGCTCAAAATGCATTATACAGTATGTTCCTATGGGTGTCTTGGTCTAGGTCAAACTTCAGAATCTGTCTGAGCAAGTCAGGAAATCAAATGATAATTATCAGCCCTGGATAAGTTTTTATAGCAAAATTATAGCCCATGACAAGCAGAGGTGTTGCTATCTCTTCCTAGCAAGACTACTACTGCTGTCTCTATGGCTCATCACAGCAACAAACCTTTGCCCTGAGCTATTCTTCAGAGGTAAGCACAATAAAAACCTGGCTATAAGAATAGTCGCTGAGAAGCTATGATCAGCAAATAATGACCAGGGAGTCCCCTTCATCATGTCTCTCTCTATTAACAGAGAAACTGCACCAGCTCCCCATCAGCCCAGCCAGGAGTCAATGGATGGTTTAGCAACAGGACTTCTTTCTGAAATTCTGAAAACCCCAGGGTAAAATTATGCTGCTGTACAGTCTCCTAATGTTGCTTTACAATGCACCTCAAATTTGTGATTTTAAAAGCACCTCAGCCCACTGTGAGTTCACAGTTATCTTTAATGATTTGCAAATCTTGGTGTTTTTTAACAGCTCATTTTTGTGCTGCGGCTACTGTGGTAACACCTGCACCTAAATAGTTATTGCTTATAATACCCTGGGCTGTCACGATGTGCAGTAAATGAGAGGCAGTGCAGTATCTTCCACCTTTTCTAGCCTAATTCGCTCCTCCTCCATCTGAACACAAGCATACTGAGTCTGATGGAGCTGCTATGTCAGTTCCCAAGGCCCTCTTCCCCCTTGGCTCATGGGACGTCTGTCATCAGCAGCTGCTGATCACCCTGCTCTGTTACATGGAGAGACACAGGAAGAAGATGGCAGCCAGAAACCACCAGGCTCTTTCCCTCCTGTGAACAGAGGAAGGCTGAAAGCTCTGACTTTGAAGATGGAGGATCAACTTGTTCCCAGATGGCAACTATAAAAAAAATACAGAAGTTTTCATGAGGCATGCAATGTGACATTTCTACAAGATATTCTATTTATATCACATTACTAAATCCAGCTTCATTTTAGTGTCATTAACCTTTTAAGTGAGGATTAGAATCACCTTTACAGGTGACAAGTATTATGTAACAACTTTTCTTCTCTAATTCCAAAATGTTTGGTATCTTTTAGGTAATAGTAATAATGGCAGATGTTTACTGAACAATACTATGTGCCTGACGTTGTTCTAAGCTTACATGCATTAACTCATTTAATCCTGAAAACAACCTGTTGTTACGATGAGTCAGGATTTGAACCCAGAATCTGTCTCCAGAGTCTTTGCCATTCTGAGATAGATCCAAAGATCAGACTCCGTTCCCCTATAGAAGTGAACCTCTTATGAAGACACCCAAGGACTCAGAATAAAATGGGCTACAACTATGCTTCCAAATGCCTCAGAATAGATGAGAAAAATCTCCAGGGTTGTATATGTGTCATAACTGCCTTACCTTACCTGCAAAAGTCTTTTGTCTAAGCAAAGTATGGTTGGCTCTGAGGGAAGATATCAGTGATTTTCAAAAATGGAAATGGCCCCATTGTGATTTTTTTAGGTTTAAAATGCTCTTGGTAAATTCTCTAGGGTACAGTCCCATCCTCTATATCCCTGTATGGTGCCCAAAGAGCTGATGATCACACCTCTTCAAAACATTATCAGCTACACTGGAGGTTGCTTTCCATCTGTAAGCATTCTCTCACTGGGCCCATTTGGGAGAAGCAGAGGATGACACTGCCCAACTCATTTCCCCCTGAGCCCTTAACCACTTTCACCTCCAACAGTCAGCACCTGTGTTCTCTGTCTGTGGGCTGCCACCAAGCTGCCAAAGCCTGCTTTGCCTGCAGGGAGAGAGAACCAGAGGGGACCCTCCAGAGCAGTCCTTGGCCAATGACAGACAGCACAGGAGATATACCCCAGCCCCTCATTCCTCCTGGAGACAACTCTAAGATGTCTCCAGAGCTCTCCTGCAAGATGGAGCCAAAGTCTCCCATCATGGAACTGGACATAATATTGCATCTTTCTCGGCCTCCTTCCTTTCCCTGTCTTACTTCACCATCCTCTTACTGGTTTTCCTCGGATCACTTCATAATACATCACTTTCATTGACACCAACGTCTTTGGTTTGCCTCTAGAGAACCTCATCTAAGAGTGGAGACTGGTATGTAGTGAACTGAAGGTGACGCAGGACATCCAGAAGGTCCCTCTGAAGTCCCACCTCCACGTATGGTCTAAACAAACATCTCAGGTCATTAACACTCCGGCTCTGCACAAGGGAAATCTTGGTCCCTCGGCACAAACAGAATGTTATGATCCATTAACACTGTGCTTGTTCATCCCTGAGCTACTCCTCAAAAATTTTTTTAAAATACAGAGGTCAAGTTATTGTGAGAGAGATGGCCAGAGTGTCCTCACATGATGTAACTGAATGAAACGTCTTAATGAGAAAACATTGAATGGATGTCCCAATAATTGTGGCTTCAACAACAAGAAATCACAGTGGATTCAATGGTTCAAAATGCCTGGGAGCCAAACAGATGTCTGTGCTAAATAATTGTGTTCTCAAGTCTGGGAGGAAGATGGAGGCCTAGAAAGGATAGGAGACTAGCACAAATCTCTCATTTCATGGTCTTGGTTCCTGTGAATCAAATGCTCTTGTTAAACATCTCTCACAGTAGCTTTAAACTTTAATTACATACTCTACCAAAGCAAGGATCAAAATCTCTACAAAGATTCTTTTTTATTTTTTATGATGAAGTATTTATTAGTGTGTCTCTTTGGAATAGATTTTCCTACTCCAGGCCTGAAAAGAAATTCCACATAGAAATCATTCTCAAAACACTTTTTAAATTCTTGAGAGTTAGTCCTTCTTTCTCGTCTCATGTAACGACTTGTTAATGAGGAATAATTAAAATAGATTCTTGTTAATAAGGTGAGAGGGGACACATTGCATTTCAAAAATACTTTTAAATATAAAACCTTCAAGTACACCAATATCTATAATAAAGAAATTAAGGTCTAGTACATTTCAACCAATGGGGTAGCAACAAAAGATTTGCTTCATGCAATAGGTCAGCCTAACTGAAAACAGAGAATTATGATCTTGCTAATATCAACGTGGACCAGACAAAACACCATCCCTCTTATATGTATGTGACTATAATAGTTCTGCATTTCTTTCCATCCTGGATTCTCAGCACCAATTCTATGATCCAAGGACTTTGAGATTCCCCCAAAATGTCCCAGAGCAGATTTCATGAGCTGTTCAACTGGACCCAGCCAGCAGCTTCGGGTTAGAACTTCATCTTGGTTGACTTGAGAGGAAATCCACCCCCAGTAAAACCAGGGCCATTTGGTTTGACCATTAAGAAGGTGTTATCCATGGGTGCTGTGTCCTTGTTTCTGTAACAGAGGAGGTGAAAGTTAGCTTCCTTAACATCCTTTTTGTCTAAGTTTGACATTTGATAATCCTAGGGTGTGTTAGCCACTGAAAACTACTTTGATTACAGTTTCTAGTTTTAGACAAGGTAGTTGTTTAAATCTAATTAGGTGTTCACCGATAAAACATAAAATTAGGACAAGACAATTAAATGCAAAATATGCTCTCCTAATGTTTATTTAAATATGAACAGAAGACCTCATTATAACTCAAATGCTGTGTATTTGGTGACTTCTGACTTGGAATCATCTTCCTGTTTTATAAAACATTTGTTTAGCTCCAAAGATCAGTCAGAAGAATCTTTTTCTTGGCTCAATTATAATGACTAATTCATCATTTATCAACTTTTATATTGCAAAGTTCTGGTATAAATTTATAAATATTTACTACACACAAGGTATCTTCATCAAACTTGGACATTTATAAAACACAAATTTTCCTGTAACCCTAGACAAGCAACCATTATTACTAGAAATAGTTTTAAGATACAAGAAAAGCTGGGGAAGATAAATAAAATAGTATTTTTGGCAATGGATGAAGAGAATTCTGCCCTAAAATCAACAGTATAACTTCTACATAGATGTCCTTTAAATACACACACAGACACACACACACACATACTCATATTCAGGCTTACTGCAGAAGTAACCTAGATCTACACAAGTTATCTATCTTGGGGTCTTAAAGAAAACACCTTTGGAATCCCTGTTAAACAATGAAAATTAAGCAAACTGCTAAGACCAAAACCAATTAGATTGGACAATTATGAATGACTCACCCTAGGGGAACAAACTGTCTTTTGGAAAAGAATCTGGTACTGCAGACTGTAGATCAGCCTGGGGATGTTGAGTAGGGTAGTCAGGGGCAGGTGCAGGTGTAGTTTGGGATCACAGTGGGAGCAGAGGGGTGTTTAAGAAAAACAAAAGAAGGTAAAAGGTACAAAATGATAAGAGTTGCTTTTTTGTAAAGGGCATATGTGGAGACAACATCCACAGAGATTATTCTAAATTATTCCACTGGGAGAGAACCTGTAGAGGATTGGTAATCAACCCATCTGTCTCTCAGTAGAATTGATTTCATTGTTGTGAAAAACCATTCTCCATAAATAGGACGAAAGCCTTAGCCTTGAGTGGATCCAGCAAAGCAAATTCTTTCCTGTACTTTGGCAACTCGTCTGGCTCTTGACTGGTGTTAGAGGCGGCAGCACTCCCCTTCCCCCTGCCCTCTCTCGCCTTAAATAACCTGAATTTTCTTTTTCTGAAGGAGCTTAAGCTTAATGCTTCTGGCTTGGTCTAAGCTGACTAATGGGAATACTGTCTCCTTTATATTATCTTTTTAATGTATTTATAGACCATTATAATGACTCCCTCAGCCTTCTTCCTTCCAGTGTATACCATCTCAGCACTTTTGTTCTTGCCTCTTCATATTTTTTTCTTCAGCATCTTTTTTGCTATTATCCTATGAACTAATCTTTGTCTACCGGTTTAGGAATCACCAAGTAGATGGAACCACCAATGGAGCCCTAACTAGGTCAGAGTGGCTACTAGTAATAAGTGTGTAAGGACAAGAGAAGGACAGGTAAAGGCAAAGATTCTAGAGCTTTCTAGAACTTTCTAGTACTGCCCAGTTGAACTTTCTGTTATACCCAGCCACTAGCCACATGTGGCTATTAAGCACTTGAAATGTGACTAGTGAGACTGAGGAACTGATTTCACAGTAATTTGTTTAAATTTAAATGGCCACAAGTGGCACACAGCTGGGCAGCGCAGTGCTAGTGGACAGGCCCATCAAGAAGGGCTGAGCCAATATCTGGACAGCTCATGCTCTCTATGTCCATCAAGCTTTGGGGAAAGAGAGGGAGCAAGATCAGCAGGCAGTAATGTCAAAGAAGACTAGGCCAAATCCCAGGGTCAAGGCAAGAAAATTAATCAGCTCTAGAAAGATAATAAAGAGCCAAACTAGCTGTTTGTAACAGTGTAAACTAGACCATTGGTCTCCAAATGGAGTGTACGAACTTTAGAAAATGAATGAGATGATCCATTGTGGGTAGAAAGAAGATATTATTCAATTACATCACAATTAAAAGAACTACAGAAGCAAGAACAAACACATTCAAAAGCTAGCAGAAGGCAAGAAATAACTAAGATCAGAGCAGAACTGAAGGAGATAGAGACACAAAAAACCCTTCAAAAAATCAATGAATCCAGGAGATGGTTTTTTTGAAAAGATCAACAAAATTGATAGACTGCTAGCAAGACAAATAAAGAAGAAGAGAGAGAAGAATCAAATAGATGCAATAAAAAATGATAAAGGGGATATCGCCACTGACTCCACAGAAATACAAACTACCATCAGAGAATACTATAAACACCTCTACACAAATCAACTAGAAAACCTAGAAGAAATGGATGAATTCCTGGACATATACACCCTCCCAAGACTAAACTAGGAAGGAGTTGAATCCCTAAATAGACCAATAACAGGCTCTGAAATTGAGGCAATAATTAATAGGCTACCAACCAAAAAGAAGTCCAGGACCAGACAGATTCACAGCCAAATTCTACCAGAGGTACAAGGAGGAGCTGGTACCATTCCTTCTGAAACTATTCCAACCAATAACAAAAGAGGGAATCCTCCTTAATTCATTTTATGAGGCCAACATCATCCTGATACCAAAGCCTGGCAGAGACACAACAAAAAAAGAGAATTTTAGGCCAATATCCCTGATGAACATCGATGCAAAAATCCTCAATAAAATACTGGCAAACCAAATCCAGAAGCACATCAAAATGCTTATCCACCATGATCAAGTGGGCTTCATCCCTGGGATGCAACGCTGGTTCAACAGATGCAAATCAATAAACGTAATCCAGCATATAAACAGAACCAAAGACAAAAACCACATGATCATCTCAATAGATGCAGAAAAGGCCTTTGACAAAATTCAACAGCCCTTCGTCCTAAAAACTCTCAATAAATTTGGTATTCATTGAATGTATCTCAAAAGAGTAAGAGCTATTTATGACAAACCCACAGTCAATATCATACTGAAAGGGCAAAAACTGGAAACATTCCCTTTAAAAACTGGCACAAGACAGGGATGCCCTCTCTCACCACTCCTATTCAACATAGTGTTGGAAGTTCTGGCCAGGGCAATCAGGCGGGGGAAAGAA